ACTGACTGCCGAGTCATCCCCATAGAAAGGAAATCAATTGGAGTTGGCCTGGCCATTCACCCACGGGATCCCGCTCCCGCCAGCGCCACGCTTAATCCCAAGAACAACACGATGCAGCGTGTGCGGTCAGAGGATGATCCTTCGGGGATCAGGGCGGCCCGGGACTGGCAAAGCGGATCAACACGTAAGAAGAACTAAAGTCGAGACTGGCCATTGCGCCGAGATAGACCGCGAACGGGGGGTACTTTACCACCTACTCAGTGGCCGACACATTCACCCTTGTTTTACCAGATAACTTCACTGTTGTAAGAATTATATCGTTATATTTGACGAAAACCGTTCGTTTAACTTGTCGACGCAGACTTACCTTACTGTAATTTTAAAGTTGAACTAAAAATACAGTTGTATCAATTCACGGAAAATATTTGAACTCGGTTTTTATACTAGCAGACAAATCCTGACAAGTTGCCACCATTAAAAATAGTGTAAGGAGCTTGAATCAAGGAAATATTCTTGGAAGTACACTGATAAACTAAGTGTTCAACTGCTCAACACGTGTAAGTGTGCAACTGCAAGTTGAATACTTGCAAGTGTGCAACTCCGTAGTCGTACACTTGAAAGTGTTTAACTCGGTAGATGTACACTTGCAAGTGTGCAACTCCTCGGTTGCACACTCCCTACACAGTAATCGTCTAATCTAAGGAAGTGTGCAACCGAGGAGTTGCACACTTGCAAGTGCACACCTACCGAGTTGCACACTTGGAAGTATTTAACTTGCAGTTGCACACTTGCAAGTATTTAACTTACAGTTGCACACTTAGAAGTGTTGAGCAGTTGAACACTTAGTTTATCAGTGTAAGTAAATATCTTTGGAACATTAGTAAATTTCCTTGACCTTTTTTCGGTAGGAAATTTACTTGTACCAGGAATATTCCTTTGATGCAAGAACCTCCTTTGTTTGGGTGTATTGAGAGGTCTCAACTTCAGTTAGTTTTTCTACGTTTCCCCAAGTGAGAAAGCACTTGCGAAATAGTTCGTGCATCTTCCTCCGAAATAATCCGAAATAAAGGCGAAATAGAGCGAAATAGGACAGAAATAGACAGTGAGATAGTCTCGAAATACTCCCGAAATATCGCAAAATACCCTGTAATAATCTGAAATAGGCGAGAAATAACCGGCAGAACAAAATACAACGAAATAGCCCGTACGCTCGAAACAAAGTGATTTTTCCCTCGCGTTTTCCTACACAATTGCGTCACGACGCTCGAAAATAAGGACAACTATTTGTTTCATAACGTTGATTACACTGGACGATATGACAGGGAAACCGGCGTTCGTCGCGTCATCGTTTCTGCACCGAATGCAAAGGAAAATATCCGCTGCACTAGCAAAAACCCCGCGTACCCCACCCCAGCGCCGGCGCGCCACTTCGTTTGGCCCCGGGCGGGCACTGTCTCAGCACTCGTAAGGTGGAACATGCATACCCTCTCTACTTTGGCCCCGTCCCATCCCGCTGCGCCACCTAAACAGAGAACAGAGACGGTGGAAAAAGACGACGACATCTCTCTTTCCCTAAACGAAACGCACAGAAGGCTACCGTCTTTCCTGCCGGGCCGGGGGTGCCAGGGGTAGTTGGCCGGCTGGCGTAAAGCTGACTCAGAAGGTGTGTGTACAAGGGCGCGTCTTGTGGGAGACGCTGATAGAAACACACATATGAGACACGCAATAGAGTTTCTCTGATGTGGAAAACGCAAGTTACGCACTCTCAGGAAGAGCAGCATCTAGGGGTTTTCTTACACCATTAAAACTTTATATGACATGAGACGCAAACATAAAATAAAATAAATAAAAATCTCAATCAAGAATCGATCTTGAAATTTTCTCTCATATTTAGCTGTCATTTGTTTATGGCTGCTTGTTACTTGCAATCTTGTAATTCGGGGGACAAGCGGCCTAGAGGAGGAGATAAGGAACGGACAGAGCGGCTAGCGTCGGTAGCCCAGTATTGTTGGGCAAGACAGGGCCTTCCCTGCCTGGTGCAGTATTGTCGTCGGCGGGAGGGGGTAACGCGAAAGCAAAGGCGCTTCAGCGCCATAACCACCTACACGGAAAAAAATACGTTAGTTCTCGCAGCAATAAGTTAGCTGTGGTAGCTTATGCGTTTGCTGGTAGGATGACAGCAAATGCCGTTAGTTGTGCCAGCTAATGCGGTAGCTATGGCGCATGAGTAATAGGCACTGATTGTCATTACTGGGTCTGCTGAGAAAGCAAATGGAACATAGCCTCTGACGACACAAGTCAAAATGGCACTAGTAGTTGACAGGTTTTCGGTGTCACAACTGATTGCAAGTAAAAATGGAAACGTGTCTGCGGGAGCAAGAACTCGTCACACAGAACCGATCTCGTTCGTAATCCCCGCCCAAGACGCTCGGCATCTCCGCCTTACATTAAATCGTTTGATCGCGCCACAATTTCGTAGTGAGACCAGACTTGTCATTGGCAGGTACTAATTCGCAGTGACTTCCGTACCTTTAAATTGCGAGCTCCTCCAGCAAAATGAATCATTGTGACAACTTTGCCCAAAATGGCAGAAGAGCTTTCGCTGCTTCTTTCCGGGTGGGGCCTGCCCGAAGGCGTCATCAGTCGCTTTGTCGGTAAGTAAGTTCAAGTCTTCAAGTCCGGTCCGGACACTGTTATTTCATCGGTTTCTTTGTGGAATGTGAAGTTTATTTCTGAGACTTGGTAATTTATTTTGTGATCACACCTGACCACCTCTGTTCGAGTTTTAGTTTTGAAAAAGATTAATTTGATATAGTGAGTGAGTTAAAGAAGTTTGTGTTTGTCTAGTCCCCGGCTAGCCTAGAGGTTAGAGGTTAGGTTGTTCGGGTTGCCGGCATGTTTCTGATACGAGTACATTTGTGTTTTTTGAATTAGAATAATGCAATGAATGCTAAACTCTGTTTTTGAGGACAGTGATTCATTAGTTACGACCACTTAATTTCGGACTTCGCTTGGTAGCGTATTAACATTGTCTTGCGGCAGACACCAGAGTTTAGTTTGCTTCCGAACGCCTTGTGGTAGTAAGGTTAATTTGATAAGACTTCAGAGCAATCGATTGCTTTTGATACCAGGTATTGAGTGAAATGTCAGGAGGGCTATTAAGGTTATGTTTGTGTTTCAGCGGACGATTGGACTATAACTTCTATAAAAATCATTACCGAGGAGGAGATTCTTGAACTTATTCCTACAAAAGGACCTAGAGCATTGTTCTGCTACAATCTAAACCTTCTCAAGAATCCAGTGAGTATTAAAAATTTAGTTTGTTGAGAGTTTATGTTGTACTGTGTGTCAAACACGTTTCTAATACCCTGCTGAAACCTTCTTTACAGGATAAATCTGCGAATGATCAAAATCTCAATGATTCAGACGATGATGATAATATTCGAGATAACAGCAGCAGAGCTAAACGTCGGAAGCTAGATAGCGCCAGGTTACAATCAATTCAAGATGAACCCGACGTAAATGTAAGTTGAACTTCTCTCTTCTTTTTTTTGGCAAAGTTTGGTGTTGAATACTAATGTTCTAATTTTGTTTATATTCAAGGAGATTCACAAGCTTCTGAAAAAGACTTTACCGGGGCTGATGATTCTTGGATATTATAAGGCCAACCAAACCCTCGACCACTATACAAGAGATCTCTTGTGTACTCAACTTCTCTTTAAAGAACTTGAGGATAACTTTAACAAAGAGTATGTTGTCTTACATTAGTGGCACCTTGCTTTGAAGTAACTACTTTATTTAATTTTGCATTGGTATTGTCTTCTAGGTTTACAAGAGATGAATGGAGTGCCTTGGCAGATGAAATAGTGACACTCTTTCCAACCGAAAGTAAGGTTAGTATTTTCTTTGTAATCCTCACAAATATTTTTTGTACTGACAAGCATTCTATCATTACTTTTGTATTTTTTCTGATTGTGTAATATGTACGCAGGAAACCTGGTATGACGTTGTTCATTCAGGCAATAAATCAACAGTGCAGGGAAGATTGCGCTACAAATATTACTCCATTCGGCGAGGGCTGATCAGCTCCCTCCTGGTTACGACTAACTCGCAGGAATTGTCCAGCAATAATGAGTCCACTAGCTTCGGTTAGTATACATTATTGTTCTACATGTAAGGCTTTTATTTTCAACTTACTTTTTTCATAAGCTTAGTGTTTGTTTTTTAGGTGATCTTGGAGATGACACTGAGGATGAGGCCTTCATGTGGCTGTTGACAAATAGTGAGCCTTGGGATCAGGTTGAAATCAAATGGGAGGAAACTCGGTTGAGAAGGAAGCGCCATTTACATTTGTGTGAATATGCTCATGTCTACTTCGAGAAATTCCCTTTACTGCGCCAGCCTCTGGGGTGGAAATTGGTTAGTTGCCCACCAGCTTCTGTTTGCTTATCATGATATCAATAACACTAAACACATTCTTGATTGTTTTAGATTGCTGCTGATGGACAGTCTGAACAGCCAAATCTTGAATTCTCTCTCAGAGAGCTTTGGGTTGAGTACTCTGTATTTCTTTTGAATCTGATCAGGCAAGATCAACCTAGTTTCCTCAAAGGCCGCAAATTTTCAAGTCTGACTGCTGGTATGTGTCTTGTGCTCCTCTATATCTAACGTTCACAATTTAGATTTAACAGTACTGATTTTAATGTTACTTTATTTTTTATTTGCAGATCAGCAGTTTGTGTTTATCTTGAAGGAACTACCATCTTTATTCAAAGTGAGGACCTTGCCGAAGAGTAAGAAAGCCAGCAGTAGAGACAGGGCCTGGAGGCCGTCAAGAGCAGAGGTGTTGGATGGTGTGTGCTTACATGTAACGGTAAGTTCTTGATTACCATTCATAAGGAAGAAAATATTTCAATGTGCAACATTATGTTAACAATTTCTTAGTAGGTAATTTTTAAACTTTTTGCTTCATTCATAAATATATCTGAGAACATTATAGCTACCCTATCACTGACTTTAGTTAAAATCATACATAAAATTCCATGAAGCCTCCTAACATTGTTTATATCTCTTCAAACTAATTAGTTTATTCAATGGTTTTCTACAGAGTTGTTTATATTTTTCAGTATTTTACCATTACTTTACTTTAGCCATACATACTACTGTTCAATGCTTAGACAACTAATAATTTCTTGTTTTGTTGTTTACAGGAAGTTGCACAAATCCGTAAAAGATTTGAGGAAAGGAAACTTCCCCTCTTCAAGTACAAATATTCTGTCCAGCCAGTTCCTGTATTTCTAGGAAACTTAGGCAGTATCCAACAGTCCTTCATTGTTATGGATGAAATTAGGTGGGAAGTCTCTCATGCATTTGAGGCTTTTATGGGCTGTTTCCAACTTGCTTTTGGGCTTGGTTCCCAGTTCCCTACTGAAGGTAAGCATATATGGGTGTTTCTTCAGAAGACTCATTATCATCTTCAATGTCGATACTGCTTTCGACTACGATAATGAACTTGGATTGCGCTCATTTATTGCTAATTGCCTGAAGGAACGTTTTCCATGACCTCTGCGAGGGCTCACGTCATTATGTGATGTTACATGTACTTCGACACAGCATAACCAGTAAATTTTTTTCACTTGATTTGCTTAATCATAGAATTGAGATGTTTCAGTATGGACCAACGGATTCTAACCGAATTCCTTTATTGTGTGATGAGTTTGCTGCAAAACGAAAATTGAAAATGTCTGGTTCTGAAACGCTACTTTTTGTGAAATTGTTTGGAATAATTATTGGTGATAAGGTCCCCTATGATGATGAGCACTGGAAGTTGTACTTTAAACTTTGCAATTCAATGGATATTGTACTTTGCAAGTCGCTTTCTCGTAGGCAGGGATCTGCTCTACGTGTTCTTGTTAGTGAGTTTAACTCTATGTATGTTAATGTAACTGGTGATACTCTAAAACCAAAAATGCATCATCTTGTTCATTTTTCTAAATTTTTTGAAAATAGTGGCCCAATGGCTCTTACCTCTACTAAAACCTTTGAAAGGAAACACCGAAGTCTCTTAATACCAGCTCGGGCCACAGAATCTAGAACTAATATTGCAAAGACTGTTACAATCCAACATCAACTTAATGTAAGTCACCATTTTAAATCACTGAAGTCTATCATCCCTTCCACAGAATTTGGTCCTTCCACAGAAGTTTTATTGTCAGATTTCTCAAACCATAGTTTTGTTCATAATTTGCCTGTGTCTTTTCATTTATCTTTTTCCAAAGCCTGTTTGTCTGCAAACTGGGTTAATTTTAAAGGAAGTACTTACAAACCAGGTATGATTCTTCTGCTTGAAGTGAATGAATCTGGGGGACCAGTTTTTGGGTTATTGAAGTCAATTTTTCTTTGTGAAACTGAAAACTTCACTTTTGTATTTTCTTATTTGATGTGCTCTGGATTTGACGACCACCTTCATGCCTATGAGGTTGAAGTCTCTGACGAGAAATGGTCAACTGTATTGCCCTCT